CAAGAGATTTTAAGGTCAAGGGGGCTTAGCGTTGTTTGGTTTCCCAATGTTCTTTCAAATATATTCTTTGCATTACACAAAAGAAACACACCGTTTTGGAATGGCACGAGGGTGAGTAAATAATGACAGGATTTTCATTTTTGCATGGACTATTCCTTTAAGTGAAATGTCTTGGATCTAAATATAAACTAGTATACTGTATAGCTGTAGTAAACGTCCCAGACTGATTTCAGCACACATGGAGAGAGATCACATAATCCCCTATTTTAATTACGCAGGAGCGGTTATAAATTTGGGAGATGACAGCTGAGTAAATCACAAATTTTTCTGAGGTGAAATTTGAAGCATTTCTTCAGATAGACATAGCTGCATAGGGTAACATAAACTGCTCATTGGTTTTAATTTCTTTAGTGCTAAGAGAAAAGCCTGGGATATATTTACTAATGATTAGCCTATGGCATTTTGGTTATTGATATTTGAGCCTCTGAGATTTGAAGCTTCTTTGATCGCCTGATTCATATAAAGCATTCAAACTTGTCGATGTGAAAGATACTGTAGTCTAGGACAACGACAACAGCAATCCTAACATGAACAGGCAGAATTTCTAGATGAAGTTCCACTGGGGATATGCATATAGTTTAAATAGCAGCAATTTAGGCAACACTGCACTTGTGTCATTATACTGAACTAAAGACACTTCAGACTATAATTACATAGCATTAACACACCTTTAACAGTGCAATTATAAGCAATTACGGTAGTTGTTATTCAATAAATACAGAAGATGTAAGTTAGCAATTAGAACAGGGCTGTGAGGAGAAACCTTCCTTCTGATTAGCAGCCTATTACTTTGATATCATATAACCATTTTACTCTTTCCCAACATGCCCCCTCACTGCAGTTGGCACAAAAATACCTACACCATCCAGGCAATTTATCAGTATGGATTTTTTTAAAACATGCATAAAAAACTATCAAGTGCAGAATAATTTCACCCGTTTCATTAATGCGTCAGCCCTTAATGAGTTGACGTAAAAGTGAACACATTTAACTAAGTAGTCAGTGTGGGGGCAAACAGTCAAATGCAGTTTGAGTGACGCATTAGTCAGTCTGTGATGCACTCACACCCAAAGAGTTGACATTTTACCAATATTGTTGTTGTTCGTAAGCACTGACTCCCAAACTATTCTGCATGAAAACGGCCATCCAACTGATGCACATTCTCAGGATGGCGACGCTCAGTGACAGCCGCTCTTTGGCTCAAAATATGACACAATTGCCCCATAAATCCATGAAATACTTCATGTAAATATCTATAAATACATCCTGTGACATCAATTTCAGTAGTATTGTGTTCTCCAGCCAGGTCTAAAAATGCATCTTGCCAGTCTGCTTAAAAAAGGCACCTTCCTTAAGGAGCTTCCACTCTGGAATACGCTCCTACACACGCTGCACTACAACTCTGGAGCTATTCCTGTAACCACCCCCATAGAACTGTACCATAGAACTGTACCAAATGACCAAGTGTTGGCAAGAAATGAAAGAGGCAAAACATGTCACTGCGGCGCACCAGTGGGATCAATGGGGGTATGAAGAAAAGAATGATAACATGAACACAGATGGAGGGAGGTGGAGAAAAGGTTGGAGGAATTTATTCATTCAACCCTGCGATTCTGAATCAGTCTATGTCAAACAAACACATGTTCGGCAAGCAGCTGTGCCTATTTCCTCCTTAGTAATCAGATTCAAAGTAAATGTTCTATCTGCCAGAAACCCGATTCGAATTGTTCAGCTATTTTAGTCCGTGTTTCTCAGAAAGGAAACTCCACGCATTTTTGATATTTCTGTCATCTTGGCTTGTACACATTCAGTTGGGCAAACATTTTAATAGATAGTTCAATCATGACAACTCTCGGAACATTTTAGCATGGTGATGGATATGACAATGTTAATGTATTTGGTCTTGGCGGAACAGATCTGCTACGCTGCTGCTAACTTGCTGCTGCTGACTTGCTGCTGCTGTTGGTTATTGCTGTAGTTGTAGATTATTGCTGCTGCTGCAAGCAAGTACAGGAACTTGCTACTGCCAATGCATATGACGATACGGTGCCGTGAGTATTTAATACATACTGCTGCTGCACAAATAGCATATAAAATAACCCCGTAGCAGATCTATACAGGTGGAGCTGGAGAAGGTGGAGGGTTCAGAGAACTCTGAAAGCGCGCTGCAGGAATCTCAAGTGAATGCTAGCTAGCCATATAAATGCAAGGCAGTAAGCTCATTGGCTGCATATGCAGCATGAACCAATCAGCTTGTGCCAAGTCGTTTAACTCTTTGAATATCATCAGTTACGAACACCCCGTCAGCCTGCACCATCTAGAGTTTCATGACTGAACTATATATTTCTTTCCAACCAAATCAGCGTTATCTGATTGGAGCGAACATTTGCTAGAAAAATGGCAGCAGTAAAAGGTTCAAAACATCAGTCATTGTGTCAGAGACAGATTTCACACCTCGTTGAAAGGGAGAAGCTAATTATTATGCTTAATAATTATTCTACATAATATTAATATTGTTACTATTATATTATTAATAATAATTAATCACAACAAATTAATTCCCAACTAAATAACAACAACAAAAACAAGCAAATGAATATTTCTTGGCTATTTTTAAGCCAAGTGCAAAATTGGTAAGGAAGCTACTGTGTCTGTGTGAATAACCTTGGTCTGTTGTGTTTTTGGCAGACACTTTCATTCTGTCCACAGGAAAACACTAACCTTCTGTTTTTTGGATACTTAATACTTTTATTTTAAGCCAAATCACTGATAAAACATTATGAGTGCTTTAGAATGGTACGTATTTTGTGGGTATTCAGTATTATTATTCTTACTTCAAGGATAAGTGAACTTTTATGGGTTTTATTTGATTCCTAGTGTCCCAGGTGCAATTGTAAATTTGAAGTTGTATATTGGTGGACTAAATATATATTATTTAAATGCAAGAATGTAGATGGCACATGGACCCTTTTTGCAAACTGTGATGGTGAGTTATTATTAGCATTGTAAATCTAACTATTTTTATATTTAAATTTTTTTTTAAATAATGTACATTTATAACACTATAAATTATTGCCAAATTACAGAAAATGTTTAATGCTGCTTTTTAATACAAAGGCTGAGGAAGTGGCAGCAAATTTGACATCTTTCTCTCTTCTGACCAACGTAACCGATCTCTTAATATTTGTTTCCTGTTCGGCAAAGTGTAGAAATGCTATCGTGGATTTTTTTTCTTTTGCTATTGGAGCAAATGGTAAAACAAAAATGAGATTTGTTGTAGTTCCCATTCGCCACTATACTTTAGCTTCTGAGAAGCATGGAAATGTGAAATAGTTCTATACTAGCTGGGCCAAAAAAGCATCTTTCTTCGTTGACGGCCATTCAAAATGATGTGAATAGTCTGTATATCCCCATTATTTAATTATAGGCAATGTTTACCTGTGCCTGTTTTTTCCTGGAAGGCTCTTATAAGCATAAAATGGACATGTTGTTCTCTGCTGATTTTCATGTCAACTCCCAAGGATTTGTGAGCGTTCTTGTGTTGCCATCAGCCAAAAGGCATTTGGGGCTCAAGTGATTGGTCCAAAAAACAAGTAGCCGAACTGAGTGCCCATGAGCAAAGATGTCAGATTTCAAACTGATTTTGAGATTTGAGACGGCAGATTTCAAATGGCATACTTCTGGGAATCTTGTGCCAGCCGAGATGAATGGAAATGCTAATGGTTCGCTTTCTCGTATTTTTGGACAATTATTCTGGCTCACTTCACAGACAGAGAGCAAGACAGGCGGACAGGGACAACAAAGTCAAGAGTAGCTTTTAGAGAAGCGAATACACTAAGGGATTATGGTACAAAAAGTACAAGATGTAACTGGGAAAATTATGGAAGAGGAAGTGATTGAGAGAGCAATGATGGACGTGCCTGCTTTTTCTAGTCATTTCCAGAGGCGCTTGGACTGTTGCTGGGGGCAACCTCTGTTCGGTCACCTTACGGCAGGGAGGAAGCATTGTGTGAGCAAAGGTTTCTATTAATAGGAGCAGCGGGAGAGAGGACAAGAGCGTATGAGCGTGTGAGTGTGTGTGTGAGTGAGCGAGCGCAAGGTACACGAGGAGGAGGAAGCAGATTGTGAGAATGAGACAGTTACTAGAGAGAGCTGGAGAGAGGGATGCAGGGAGAGCGTAGCGGAGGAGGGAGCGATGGCGTGATTACGCTGTGTGTGGCGTCAGAGCGATAAGAATAGAGCCAGTGCGTGCAGGGCTGCTGAGACATCGCTTTTAATACCCACAGCTACTATCTCGCTCCCTGAACAATGTGTGTGTGTGAGTGTGTGTGTGTGTGTGGAGGTGGAGGTATACGCACAGAAAAAAATTAATATAGAAATGCCCCGTGATGAAAGATTATGACTTGTACTTTTATATTTGGAAGCAAAAAACGTTCTCAACTTTTAAAGGCAGAGCAGAGATATATAAATGTTCCTAAGAGGGAAAACGGTAGAGAAGGAAGTACAACTCATGCTGTATGAATAAAAAAAATAATAATAAAAAATGCAATTAGGCTCCTTGTTACAAAGATGACCATAATAATGATCCCCTGGTTTAAATGCATTAACAGTCCTGCTCGACTTCTAAAAGCATATGAAAGCAGATATGACTGTTCAAAATCTATGACTGTATAATGCCTCACCAATAATTAGAGCAATCAATGACTACATGATATTTTGATTAATCACATATCAATATTTGCTGGCACAAAATCACACTAAATTAACATTAAAATGGACAGCTTTGCTAATGAAATGGGTAAATGTGCTGTAATTCTTTTGAAATATAGATTCAAATGCATTGTTCTTTTCATCATTTACCTTTATTTCAAATCCGTATGACTTTCTTTTTTCTGTGGAACATTAAAAAAGATATTTAGAAGAATGTCCGAACTTCTCTTTTCCTTACAATGAAAGTGAATGGTGATCACGACTGTCCCTGGTCTCCATTCACTTTCATTAAAACAGCAGCTTGGGCATCCTGCTAAATATCTTCTTTTGTGTTCCACAGAAGAAATGAAGTCATATGGCTTTGGAATGATATGGGAGTGAGTAAATGATGACAGAATGTTCATTTACAAGTAAAATATTCCTATTAAAATATCTCAGATGTTTTGCTTATTATGAATGCAAATACACACACACATTGTGTTAGGGTGGGGCGAGGGGGATGAAATGCGAAAGCCTGTTTTGTATCCTCCCTACATGGTCATAGACCCCAACTGATGGAGCGGTGAGTGGGTGGATGCAACTGTAGGGCAAAGGTCCGCCAATCACAAATGAGATAGAAGAGGGGGAGATGTAGGAGACATAGGCCCAGGTGGATGACGTCAGAGTAGTCTTGGCCTAGCAGGTCTGTCCCGCTGAGGTGTCGGGTCTGGACAGGCTCACACAGCCAACAGCTTGAGCAGCCACTGCACAAAGACCAGAGAAATGATTCAGGGAATGTGCTGTGCACATTATTAATAAATATACGCTTATATTATACATACATGGTATAGATATATGTAACCAAAAATCTAAATTCCATCATCATTTACTCGCACTTAGGTTGATCCAAAAATGAGTGACTTTCTTTCTTCTGTGGAACATAAAAGATATTTTGAAAAATGTTGCTAATCAAACGGTTTTGGTGAGCACTTACTTCCATGTACAAATTACATTACATCATTTTCTCACCAATGGATCCTCTGCAGTGAATGGGTGCCGTCCAAACAGCTGATAAAAGCATCACAATAATCTACACTACTCTAGTTTATGTGAATTAATGTGAAGTAAAAAAGCTGTGTGTTTCTAAGAAACAAATTCATCATTCAGGCATTTTAACTTTAAACCATCACTTGGTTATGGCCAAAATCCATAGTAACACTTTCTCCAGTTAAAATCCCCACGCTCCTGTTGTTCTCTCACATCAAACTCTACCAATATATTTGTTTAAAACCGTTTCGGTCTGTTTTCACTAATAAATGGTGCTCGACTTGTGCATATTTCTCTCCTGATTCAGTTAAAACAACGCTTTTTTTTTTTAACTGGAGGAAACAATATTATGGATGGTGGTGGTCTCATATTTTAGCAGGAAGCAATAGTTTGAAGTTAAACATTTCTTAATAATGTATTTATTTATTACAAACACTTCAAGCTATTCACTTACAAGCTATTAGCTTTATAAGACATTCATCGATGGACTGGAATCGTGTGGATTACTTGTGAATTATTGTGATGCTTTTATCAGCTGTTTGAACTCTCATTCTGACGGCACCCATTCACTGCAGAGGATCCATTGGTGAGCAAGTGATACAATGCTAAATTTCTCCAAATCTGTTCCAATAAAGAAACAAACTCATCTACATCTTGGATGGCCTGAGGGTAGGTAAACTTTCAGCAAATTTTCATTTTTGAGTGAACTAATCCTTTAAGCTTTTAAATTCTGTGTGTTCTTTTCCTCACAATGGCTTAATTCATCATAACATGGGTTCAACAAGATGCTCAGAGATTCTAGGCCTGGACCTCCCACAGGATGGATCCATGGGGGGGGGGGGGGGAGGAACGTGAGTGCTGCAGAGGAGTGTATAGACTGTAACTTTCCCTTTGTATATTAACACAGGGTGTGGTGTTTGTGTACATATGTGATCACCTGCAGCATTCAGAGCCAAACTGAGTTCGAACGGACTCATAGTTCCTGATGAATCCTCATCAAACTGGAAAAAGACAGACTGCGGAGGAAAAGAATTATGAATTGTAATATCAAGCAGTAGTTTCTTCATGTTTTCTTGAAAGGAAGCCAGTGTTTGCGATTCAGTTCTGATATGACACTGGCACAGAGCACTGAGGCAAATGAGTTCATAAACAGGATAAACAACAACAGCAACAACATTTCAAGGTCTTTTGGTCTGTGCAAGACGAGCTCTATGTAGCCTAACACAACCTGATAATTGCGCTCCAACTTGCCTCAACACACCTGACTGGAAGTTTCTATGCCTAGTAAGAGCTTGATTAGCTGGTTCAGGTGTGTTTAAATAGGGTTGGAGCTAAACTCCTCCAGGACTGAGTTTGGACAGCCCTGGTCTACAAGAAACTCTGACCCCTTCATCTGCATGTCACAGAAGAAATGGACTCCTTAGACCAGGCAATGTTTTTCCAGTCTTCTACTGACAGGCTTTGGTGAGTTTGTGCCCACTGTAACCTCAGTGTCCTATTTTTGGCTGACAGGAGTGGAACCCGTGGTCTGCTGCATCTGTAGCACATCCACTGCCACATCTGACATGCTGTGTGTTTAGAGGGGCTCTTCTGCACAGTGCAGCTGTAATGCCTGGTTATTTCAGTTACTGCCGCCTTCCCATACATTTGAACCTGTCTGGTCATTCTCCTCTGACCTCTCTGAATAACAAGGCATTTTTGTCCACAGCACTGCCACTCACTGGATGTTTTTGTGTGTGTATGTTTTTTTACACCATTCTCTGCAGATTCTACAGACTGTTGTGCACAAAAATCCCAGAAGATCAGCAGATTCTGAGAAATTAAAACCATTCTGTCTTGCACTAAATATCATTTTATGGTCAAAGTCACTTAGATCATATTTCTTCCTCATTCCAACTTCTGCGTTTATGCATTGAATTGCTGCTGCATGATTGGCTGTTTGGATATTAAACAGGTGTAGCTAATAACATGACCATTGAGTGTTTATATATATATATATATATATTATAAAGGAACACGCACTACCCTTCAAAAGTTTGGGAAGTTTGGGATTTTTACATTTTTTTTTTTTTTAAAGAAGCCTCTTATGCTCACTAAGGCCACAATTATTTTATTTTGAAAAAAAGTAATACTGTGAAACATTACTGCAATTTAAAAGACCGGTTTTCTATTTAAATATATTTTAAAATGTCATTTACACCTGTGACAGCAAAGCTGAATTTTCGGTAGCCACCATTACTTTAGTTTTCAGTATCGCATGATCCTTCAGAAATCATTCTAATATGCAGATTTGGTAGTCAAGAAACATTTATTAATATTAGTACTTTTTATTATTATTTCTTATTATTATCAATGTTAAAAACAACTGTGCTGCTTAATATTTTTGTGGAAACTGTAATAATTTTTTTTTTCAGATTTCTTTGATGTATAGAAAGTTCAAATGAACAGCATTTATTTGAAATATAAATCTTTAGTAACCGAACTTTCTCTACTGTCACTTTTGATCAGTTTAACGCATCCTTGCTGAACAAAAGCATTACTTTCTTTGAAACCAAACCTCTGAAGTAGTGTATGCTGCATTTCAAATTAGGAATCATTCCAGAAACAAATTTGTCCAGATGCTGAATAAATTAAACGACTATAACATTTTGTCTGTATGCGTTTTGTGAACTGTTGATGAAGAATGGAAGTACTTTGTTATTCTTCTAGTACATATAGAGGCTAATGAATCAGAAGTCTCGGACATTCACACAAAATAGCTTACTTCAGCGTTGCTAAATAAGGATAGTGTTGCAAAATGGATAGGAAGAACTCTCTGGTCACGGACTTACCAAAGAGCACCTGCAGTCTGGCAACACAAGACACAAAGCCGCAGAAAGGCAGGTATTGTTCACCAGCGCCAAACCTCTCCCACAACAACTGTACCACAACATTGTCACACTCCACACCTGAGGGCAGAAACAGACACAGAAGGAGGGGGAGGGAACGTGAGTGCTGCAGAGGAGTGTAGAGACTCTAACTTTCCCTTTGTATATTAACACAGTGGTGTTTGCGTATGTATGTGATCACCTGCAGCATTCAGAGCCAAACTGAGTTCAAATGGACTCATGGTTCCTGATGAATCCTCATCAAACTGGAAAAAGATAGACTGCGGGGGAAAATAATCATGAATTGTAATATCAAGCAATAATTTCTCCATGCTTTCTTGAAAGGAAGCCAGTGTTTGGGAATTTGCTCCGATACGACACTGGCACAGAGCACTAAGGCAAATGAGTTCATAAACAGGGTAAACAACAACAGCAACAACATTTCAAGGTCTTTTGGTCTGTGCAAGACGAGCTCCATGTAACCTAACACAACCTGATAATTGTCACAGCTCAGTGTCCTCACTGCTCTTTCTAACACTGTGCCAAAGCTGAGAGTGACCTTTTCACGTACGAGAACTAAGATACCTGCAGATTGCGTAGGGAGGTGAGCAGCTTCTCTGCTTGAGCTCTGTTCAGACGGCCTCTGCCACCAGTCTACACACAGCCGTTAAGAATATCAACCAAGAATGGAAGAATAATATACATGTATTTTTTTCCTTCAAGTGAAAGCCCTTCGGAAGCAACAGAAGATACTTGCATGTTTCCCGGAAGACAAATTAAGTACAATTTACCTTGATCTTCAAATTCAAAAAGTTTTCGATATGACACTGGCACAGAGCACTGAGGCAAATGAGTTCATAAACAGGATAAACAACAACAGCAACAACATTTCAAGGTCTTTTGGTCTGTGCAAGACGAGCTCTATGTAGCCTAACACAACCTGATAATTGCCACAGCTCAGTGTCCTCACTGCTCTTTCTAACACTGTGCCAAAGCTGAGAGTGACCTTTTCACGCACGAGAACTAAGATACCTGCAGATTGCGTAGGGAGGTGAGCAGCTTCTCTGCTTGAGCTCTGTTCAGACGGCCTCTGCCACCAGTCTACACACAGCCGTTAAGAATATCAACCAAGAATGGAAGAATAATATACATGTATTTTTTTCCTTCAAGTGAAAGCCCTTCGGAAGCAACATAAGACACTTGCATGTTTCCCGGAAGACAAATTAAGTACAATTTACCTTGATCTTCAAATTCAAAAAGTTTTCACCCCATGGCTCTTAATGCATCGTGTTTCCTTCTGGAGCATAAGTGAATGTTTGAACCTTATTTAATAATTGTGTTTGAGTCCCTCAATTGCCCTCAGTGTGAAAAGATGAATCTCAAAATCATACAGTCACTGCTGGAAAGAGTTCTAATATGCAAAAGATGCTGGAAAACTGAAGAATGTGCATGAGCTGGAGGATTTTTCTGAAGAACAGTGCTCAGTTTAACTGTTCAGAACAAACAAGGGACTCATGAACAACCATCACAAAACAAAAAAACAGTCGTGGATCATCCAGGTAACCACACGCAGTATTAAGAATCAAGGGTTCTCAAACTTTTGAATGTGGTTATTTTTCTTGTGGACTAAATGTAAACATCTTTTATGTAAAATATCTTACTCAGGACAGTACTAAATAAAAAATAACATGGATTTTGTATGATCTCTCTTATTTTGTTAAAATTATTCACATTTTCACAGATTCTGCAAGGGGTTTCCAAAGTTTTGCATGCCACTGTATATATATATATATATATATATATTTATTCACTACTTCACTTTCACAGACCTTTACATTAACTGTTCCCTCCTGGTGGAATGGCCTGCCCAACTCAATCTGAGCAGATCAGTCCTTAGCCATCTTCAAGAAATGGCTAAAAACACATCTCTTCCATCTTCATTTGGCCCTCTAACTCTAGAACTCTTTATTCTAATTCTATTCTTACTACTTGTCTTCTTTAAAAAAAAGAAAGAGAGAGAGAGCCTCTGACACTAGCATTCTCTATTCTTTTTCTATTCTTTTGACTTGTTTTATTTTTATAAAAAATACCTTCTAACACTAGCATTCTCTATTCTATCTACTTGTTTTTCTTTATATTTATTATTTAAAAAAACCTTGCTATGTGTACTGCGTTAGGCTAACCGAGACTTGTCACAGCACTTGCATATTATTGCCCTTTTGTTGGTTTTGATTGCTTCTATTGTCCTCATTTGTAAGTCACTTTGGATAAAAGAGTCTGCTAAATGACTAAAATATATATTTATATGAAGAGCTCATTTGCAAAAGCAGATAACTCAGTTTTTAACAATTCTCAAAAATCATGGTTTTTCATTGTGCATACCAATTAATCTCAATGAAACTGCAGATGGGTTATTTTGATTAAGTAAAAAAAAAAAAAAAAAGCCAACTAACACAAAACATCTGTTTTTGCAAATAAACTCTTCATTCATATATATATATATATATAGCTAGCTACAGGGAGAAGGATACATCTTCCCCAAAGATGAGCTGTCTGCAGGTCTCCAGAGGAAGTTCATAGTCTTTTTCCAGCACTAAAACAGAAACAAGTGTGAACCAAAAGCATACGTTTAGCGAGTCATGTATTATGACATGGTGACCCACATGAAATCCAAAATTAGCCAATATTTGGCATGACATTTCAAAATGTCTCATTTTCAACATTTGATATGTTATCTATATTCTATTGTGAATAAAATATAAGTTTATGAGATTTGTAAATTATACCATTCCTTTTTTACTCACAATTTGTACAGTGTCCCAACTTTTTTGGAATTGGGTTTGTAGATGAATGTATAGCAACATGCTGCTGGAATTCATCTCACCGACTTAACTACCTTGTAAGAGAAGCTACATAACACTTCCACCTTGTGGGTATTTGTGGTACAGTAAGTATGTTTGCTTAAATGTTGTACACAATCCCTGTGGTGACAGTTGGTGCTAAATGTGTTCATCCTGACCTGAGTTCACCAGATCCATAAACCGCACAGCATTCACTCTGCTATCCTGGAAAGTAAAAAACATAAAGACACATTTGGAGATGTTTGCTTTCTCATACTAGAATGTGACTGGAAGGGATTGAGATGCTTACTGATCCAGCCTTTTCATCAAACCACTTCTGCACTCTAAACAAATCCTCAGGTAAGACTGGCTTTGACATTACCATCTATGGAACAACAAGCACACACACACACAAACACACATAAAATAAAAATATTATCACACAGACACAGACGGTTGTTCTTCTTTCTCATTTCAGTCGGTAGATGTCTTACCACAGAGTAGTTGTTGATGCAGGGGAAATCCTGGAACCTATAAAGCAGATTTGAAACTTTTATATGGTTAACTGCTGGACAGACATACTGTAAACAGCATTGTGCCAAAATCACAATGCAGAACAGATAGAAATGAGATGTTTTTCATTCTTTGTACCCCTGTATGTTGCCGGTTTTGGTGTAAACACGGAGGAAGAACTCCCCCTGCTGGTTGGGCCTGTAGGTGGAGGCTACGATGACATAACTGCCAGGCTCTAAGTGCACCTTCCGCCACACGCTCCTAATGCTACGGTACTTTCCAGAGCGAGCAACTGGACGGTTGTTGGAGAAGAACTGCTGGTCCAGAGATCCTGGTTTGTCCTGCAGCTAAGGGTAGAGAAGATGTGAAAATGTGTTTGTATGTCTCAAGAAATGTTTTAGATGAGTGTTTAAGATAATGCTGCTAGCTAATATTCATTCAGCTGCTCACCTCAGGGGGAACCTGAAAAAGAGAATGAAGAGGTAAGACAAGAGAGAAAAAAAGGGCTAAATAAATTTGCTATGGAAAAAAACCTTTCAAATATGCATTAAACAAATAAAAAAGCTAAAGTTACAAAGATGAAAATGGAGCTAATTGTTTCTTTGTCCCTCCCACATTAAAATTATTTTTAATTATTAAATAATTTTGATTTAGCCGTCACACAAAACACAACATATGTGACAGTATTTGTATGTGCCTATATATTTTGTATATAGTGTACATACACACACAGTATGTACAGTGTATAGCATTTTTTAAAATGTCTTTATAAGACGTCTCTTATGCTCACAAAGGCTGCATTTATTTAATCCAAAATACAGTAAAAATGGTAATATTGTGAAGTATTATTACAATTTAAAATAGCATATGACACGGTTTTCTATTTCAACATATTTTAAAGTGTAAATGAATCCTATGATGCAAAGCCGACTTTTCCACATGCATTACTCCAGTCTTCATTTTAATTAATTATTATATAAATTTATTAAAAGTATGTCATTTGCATCACTCTATACATCAATAATGATTCATTTAATGACTTGCATCATAAAGTATGAAAATACATTACTATGATACTATAGACATACTGTATTAGAGGCCTGGCCTAAAATGCACCTCTAAGTTTTATATAATATGTAACGGGGTCCTAATCTCTCACCTTGTAGATGTGAAATGCAATGTAGAGAAAGTGGACTTTATCTTTTTGTCTGCGGTATTTCTGGAGAAGCTCCACCAGTACCGTACACTTCTTCTTTTTCTCTCCCTGTTTCTCAGTCTTGCTCATAGGAGCCACCACAACACCTTCTTCATCGTCTTCTCCATCTCCTTCCTCCCCTTCCTCATCCTCTCCATAATCATAGTCATCCACATCTTTCTCAGACAGAATCATTTGGAACTGAGGATTTTTCCAGAAAGATCCTGCAGGATTGAATAAGTAGAATAAGTGATGAGGAAGCATGTTGAGGAAGTAGTTAGATTGTACAAATATTTTTAGAGCAAATAAATAATAGTGAAAATACTTCTACTTTATTACTGTATTCGTTAACAAACATGAAATTACTGGGGTAACGTCGGCTGCCCCCTGCAGAGCACATTGGGACCCAGGTGCCTTGATGTGAGCTCAGTGTCCAGGACGGGGTGGCTGTGTCATCACTCGCCTCCCCCGACATAGAGTCCGGATTCACACTGCACATTTCCACTGTATTAAACAGCCGGCAAAAGTCCTCTATTCCAATCCTAAAAAATATAAATGCTTATGAAGTCCAGATACAGGCAGATTTAAAGGGATAGTTCACCCCAAAATGAAAATTGTGTCACCATTTACTCACCCTCAAGCTGTTCCAAACCTGTACGAGTTTCTCTCTTCTGTTGAGCACAAAAGAAGATATTTTGAAGAATGTAGGTAACCAGTTTACGGGAGCCATGGAAATCAATGGTTATCGTCAACTGTTTGGTTACATTCTTCAAGATATTTTCTTTTGTGTTCAACAGAAAGAAAAAAAAACAACTAAATGATGACAGAATTTTCATTTTTGGGTGAACTATTCCTTTAACAGAATGGCCTATTAAGGAATGCGCTGACTGCAGTTGGAGTTATTATATTAGCAGTGTTATATAATTCTTGGCATTTAATTGATTCCTGTTTGGCGAGTGCTCAACAATAGCGAGAGACAGCGATAGAGATGTGTGTGTGTGTGTGTGAGGAGATCACTCCCATGATAAAATCAATGGTGCTGTCTACACTGGAAGTACCAGTTGCGTCTTCAGTTGATGAGCAGCCTGTTTCTATTTTTAGCATGCTGCAGAGCTACTAAAGCCACTTTATTTATTTTTTTACAATTTATCTGACATGAAATGTTTTCATATACAAATAATAACGTTTCTATGCATGTCCCAAGATAACATTCTGATTGTGTGAGTTATGGAAATGTGTCAGGAAGAATTGTGTACAGTGTACATTTACCTACCAGAATTCACCATCTTCAACTTTGGCCAACTCAAGTCTGGCCTTCTGAGCATTATCTATAAAATCCCAGTCTTGACACCTGCACACACACAAACACAAATGTGCAGTCTTTAGCAGCCCTGAGATGGTAAGAAAATGAGCTGCTGAGGTCTTTCTCACTTGTCACTCCAGGGTCCACAGTACTCAACAAACCCCCAGGGGTTACGCAGCCTCAGCAGTAAGACCTCTTCAGATGCCTTCTGGACCTACACACACACAAACAGAGCATGTGAGAACATATGCGGTGTACATTAGGCTCTCAAGGGTACTAACACGCACAGATGTTTGCCAAAAGCTGTTAAAGTCACTAGTTGGATGACTCATTTACTGTCACCAAAATGTTCAGGTCATATTTCAATCAATTAAATGAAAATAATCTCACAATCCAAAAAAGTTACACTTTATTTTAAAGTGTCCCTGTTTAAGTGCAATTATACATTTAAGTACTGAGTAAGATTAATTAAGAACATGTACTTAGAATTAGAATCAGGAATAGGGTTTGGTTTAGGATTAGTTGCATGTAATTATGTATAATTTACTATATGTGACCCTGGACCACAAAACCAGTCATAAGGGTAAATTTTTCAATATTGAGATTTATACATCTTCTGAAAGCTGAATAAATCAGCTTTCCATTGGTGTATGGTATGGTGTATTGTTAGGATAGGACAATATTTGGCCGAGATACAACTATTTGAAAATATGTAATCTGAGGGTGCAAAAAAATCTAAATATTGAGAAAAACGCCTTTAAAGTTGTTCAAATGAAGTTTTTAGCTATGCATATTACTTTTTAAGTTTTAATACATTTACAATAGGAAATTTACAAAATATCTTCATGGAACACGATCTTTACTTAATATCCTAATGATTTTTGGCATAAAAGAAAAATCAATAATTTTGACCCATACAATGTATTTTTGGCTATTGCTACAAATATACCCCAGCGACTTAAGACTGGTTTTGTGCTCCAGGAACACATATTAAAGAACACTCTAAAATAAAGTAACCCATAAAAAAATTATTCTTTATTATTTTTCTTTGTGTGATTTCTTCAGTGTTTATGTTCTTCAAATCATGAATCATGTGTATGTGTATGTGTGTATTATATTCATACCTTATCTGTATCAGTGATGGCATAGGCATGACCTTTGATAAGACCCTCAGATGTCACAGTGCCAATCTCCTTCACACTCGCAGCCTGCACACAAAACACAACATATGCGTGTTTAATATGTATACAGTCATGCATATTTTATATTGTATGCATCTTTTATGCTCACCAAGGCAACATTTATTTGATCAAAAATACAGTAGAAACAGTAATTTTGTGAAATATTATGACAATTTAACATAACTGTTTTCTGTTATAATAAATTTTAAAGCATAATTTAATTCCGAATTTTCATAAGCCATTACTCCAGTCTTCAGTATCCCATGATACTTTAGAAATCATTCAAATATGCTGGTTATTATTATTTTCAATGTTGATAACAGTTCAGTGGAAACAGTGATGGATAGAAAGTTCAGAAAACAACATTTATGTGAAATAGGAATGTTTTGTCATATAATAAATGCCTTTAATGTCACTTTTGATTAATTTAATGCATCCTTGCTGAATTAAAGTATTAATTTATTTAAAAATAAAAGAGAAAATCTTACTGACCCCAAACATTTAAATGGTAGTGTATGTGTGTGTGTGTGTGTGTGTCACTGTGCCTGTGTGAATATGAGTCTATACTTGTATGAAGCAGCTAAGCAGACTGCTCCTGGCCAGGGAAGCAGTGATGGCTCTCCAGAGCATGCGTGGGGGCCGGGAAGACACGTGGAGGGAGTAGGCAATGCCCCCCGTAAAATCCTCCATTCCTTCTGAGATAATTCCCCCCTTCAGACTGCCATAAGAACCAATCAGCCTTTATGAACAGACAGACACACACACACAAAAATATTACTAATGGGCTTCTATTGACTGGATTGATTCTACATGAATTATTCTACATCTGTAAATTGCATTTGATAATTTATCACAACTGGATGTTTTTTACAAAAATATCAGTCCTTAAATAACACAAAGGAACAATGGCCGTCACTTGAGCGGTGTCACTAATGAACAGTCACACGCCCACACAGTCAAGGACACATATGCTGGAACTGACTTGGCATAAGCTTTCTCCACCAGGGCGCTCCAGAACTCGTTGGTGGTGCGAGAGTAGCTGAAAAGCAGACGGCCCTCTCTCACTGAGTCAGGCAGGTGAGCGAGTGGGTCTTGAGATTTGGCGCGAATGAGGGAGAAAGAAAGAGAAGTGAAACCAGAGGCGCCTTGCTGAGGAGCTGGGGATGGAGCGGCGTTCAGACTTATTCAGGTGTGAGGAGGGGTGTGTTGCCTCACCTTCACACACACACACACACACACACACACACACACACACACACACACACACACACACACACACACACACACACACAGAGAGAGAGAGAGAGAGAGAGAGACAGAACAGGGTTACATTTGCTCTGTTCAAGCATATTTGGGTGTTGATGTACCCAAAAAAGTGGACTGTTTTACTGTTCTGTATCTCAGTTTTGCAACATTTTGACCAGTATATTTCCTCTGTTTTAAAGGGGTCAATGTACTTGATGTACATTGTATGAAAGTATGTAAAAAAAAAATTGAGAGAAAAAAAATTGGGTTTGGTAAGATTTTTTAAAATAATAGTCTTTTGTAATATTATATATATATACAGTGGGTACGGAAAGTATTCAGACCCCCTTACATTTTTCACTCTTTTTTATATTGCAGCCATTCAGATGAATGCGGCCAAGTACAGGGATATCCTGGACGAAAACCTTCTTCAGAGTGCTCAGGACCTCAGACTGGGCTGAAGGTTTACCTTCCAACAAGACAATGACCTTAAGCACACAGCTAAAATAACGAAGGAGTGGCTTCACAACAACTCTGTGACTGTTCTTGAATGGCCCAGCCAGAGCCCTGACTTAAACCCAATTGAGCATCTCTGGAGAGACCTAAAAATGGCTGTCCACCAATGTTTACCATCCAACCTGACAGAACTGGAGAGGCTCTGCAAGGAGGAATGGCAGAGGATTCCCAAATCCAGGTGTGAAAAACTTGTTGCCTCTTTCCCAAAAAGACTCATGGCTGTATTCGATCAAAAGGGTGCTTCTACTAAATACTGAGCAAAGGGTCTGAATACTTAGGACCATGTGATATTTCAGTTTTTCTTTTTTAATAAATCTGCAAAAATGTCAACAATTCTGTGTTTTTCTGTCAATATGGGGTGCTGTGTGTACATTAATGAGGGAAAAAAATTAACTTAAATGATTTTAGCAAATGGCTGCAATATAACAAAGAGTGAAAAATTTAAGGGGGTCTGAATACTTTCCGTACCCACTGTATATATTTTAATAAATCTCTTATGCTCACCAAAGCTGTATTACGTAGATCAAAATATGCAGAAAATATTAACATTCAAATGAATGGTTTTATAATTCAATATATTTAAATATATAATTTATTCTTTTGATGGCATACTGAATTTGCAGCAGCAATTACTCCAGTCTTCAGTGTCACATGATTCTTCAGAAATCATTTTAATATGCTGATTTGGTGCTCAAAACACATTTCTTTTTATTATCATTGTTAAAAACAGCTGTGCTGCTTTATACTTTTGTGGGAACTATGATATATAAAAACAATGTAAGATTGTTTGATGAATAGAAAGTTCAAAAGAACAGCATTTATTTGAAATGGAAATCTTTTGTAACATTAGAAATGTCCACTTTTGATCAAATTACTGCATGCTTGCTGCATAAAAGTGTTAATTTCTTTCAAACTGTATAGTGCCTAAGAGTCATACAGGCACAGCAGCAGAAATGGTGAAAAATAGTCATTATCAAATATTATTAAAGTAATAACTATATGAATGAATTTGAAAGACTTTATGTGATATTAGACAGGCAGGTATGGACCTGTTGGCCTGCAGGTAGCACCATGTGTATGTCCATGTGTCTGTGTCCATGTCCTTGGGCTACAGTAACAAGTCTAGACATTTCAAGAATCGTCCACCAATCAACAGTCCTCTACCTCCTTGTTTTCTCATTTCTCTCCTGTCACTCAGTTTTTGATGTGTCTTCTTTCTTTCCTGTCCTCTCTAACCCTCCTTGATCAGGTCAAGTCATGTTGCACATCTGTTTAGCCTCTGAATGTAATACTATGGCAGGCAGAAGGAAATTATATGAGAATGGCATAATAATTACATAACGCTGAGCAACCTTCCATAAGAGCTAATATGTTTTGATTGTTTAATTAACTGTGGTGTTATCACACAACCTAACCTCAGTGTACAACCACGCACACAACATCACACAAGCCACGAGAGCTGTAGTGGCTTGCTTTAGTGCACGCTTTGTCAAGGTGAACTCTCTGAAACAAATAGAATTGCAGTAATAATTACACCCGCAGTGGTTCATTCACCACTTTGTGCTTCAGAAAAATAAACCCTGAGGAATAGGTGAGTAAAATGTGTAGTTTATTTATCATATATACAATATATTTAGAAAGGGCTCATTATATACAACAGCTTGAGAGATGAGTATGAGAAAGTGAACAGCTTTAATTGCTTTTTGTTTTGTTTTGCTTTAATTTTGTTTTATTTTCTACAAGTTAATGTTGTCAGTAAACCTATCTTAGTCTGAAAATATATCATACCATACTTGTTTTTTTATAATCTAAAAAATCCTATAAAAACTTAATTTTAGCCTAAAGAATTATCGAATGAAGCATTTTTCCTAAAATGGTAGTGAAGTAAAGTGTATACTTCGGGGTAAACTGTGTCAGTACTCATAATTATAGTAAACTTTGCACTCCACCCCAAAAGCAAAAAATATGCACAAGATATTCAAACTATTACTATTGCAAAAAGTATTATGTATATTGAGATTTCACATTTCAAAAAAAGCTTAATTTGAACAGTTTTCATATGCAAATAATGCAAAAATAACAATTTGTGAAAGGTCTATGCATTAAGAAATATTTTTTCCTCATTTTTTCAGCAATATAATTATGTGCATTTTTCTTTCTTTCTTTCCTTCCTTCCTTCCTTCATTCTCTCTCTCTCTCTCATTTCTCTCTGTCTTGAGGATAACCTAAAGTGAAATTTCACCCAAAAAGATAGATTTTTTTTGGTCCATAATTTTTTAGTCAGTATTTATTTATCAATATTTATCAAAACATTTTCTTTCCTGTTTCGCAAAATAGTCATAAATGTCATATAGGTTTGGAACAACATGAGGGAATGTAAATAATAAAAGAATCTTTGGGTGAACATGGCATATCTTTTTTGCTGCGGCGCCCGGGGAGCAGTTAGGGGTTCAGTGCCTTGCTCAAGGGCACCTCAGTCGTGGTATTGAAGGTGGGAGAGAGAGCGCTGTACAGTCACTCCCCCCACCTACAACCTTTGGGTTACGAGTCCAACTCTCTAACCATTAATAAACCCTGAGGAATAGGTGAGTAAAATGTGTAGTTTATTTATCATATATACAATATATTTAGAAAGGGCTCATTATATACAACAGCTTGAGAGATGAGTATGAGAAAGTGAACAGCTTTAATTGCTTTTTGTTTTGTTTTGCTTTAATTTTGTTTTATTTTCTACAAGTTAATGTTGTCAGTAAACCTATCTTAGTCTGAAAATATATCATACCATACTTGTTTTTTTATAATCTAAAAAATCCTATAAAAACTTAATTTTAGCCTAAAGAATTATCGAATGAAGCATTTTTCCTAAAATGGTAGTGAAGTAAAGTGTATACTTCGGGGTAAACTGTGTCAGTACTCATAATTATAGTAAACTTTGCACTCCACCCCAAAAGCAAAAAATATGCACAAGATATTCAAACTATTACTATTGCAAAAAGTATTATGTATATTGAGATTTCACATTTCAAAAAAAGCTTAATTTGAACCGTTTTCATATGCAAATAATGCAAAAATAACAATTTGTGAAAGGTCTATGCATTAAGAAATATTTTTTCCTCATTTTTTTCAGCAATATAATTATGTGCATTTTTCTTTCTTTCTTTCCTTCCTTCCTTCCTTCATTCTCTCTCTCTCTCATTTCTCTCTGTCTTGAGGATAACCTAAAGTGAAATTTCACCCAAAAAGATAGATTTTTTTTGGTCCATAATTTTTTAGTCAGTATTTATTTATCAATATTTATCAAAACATTTTCTTTCCTGTTTCGCAAAATAGTCATAAATGTCATATAGGTTTGGAACAACATGAGGGAATGTAAATAATAAAAGAATCTTTGGGTGAACATGGCATATCTTTTTTGCTGCGGCGCCCGGGGAGCAGTTAGGGGTTCAGTGCCTTGCTCAAGGGCACCTCAGTCGTGGTATTGAAGGTGGGAGAGAGAGCGCTGTACAGTCACTCCCCCCACCTACAACCTTTGGGTTACGAGTCCAACTCTCTAACCATTAGGCCACGACTTCCCCAGACATCTTACCCCATTTTGCTGCTGTATTTAGCGGAAAAGGGAACTTATTTAAAAAGATAGCTCATTCAGTAATGCCCCTCATTTTATGAACACAAATTGTCTCCCCCCCCCCCCCAGGATTAGATGAACAAACTACCCCCACCTTCACTTCTTCCAGTAAATCAGTTCACTTCCATGTTGTCTTGAGCCTCACAGTGGGCCTCTTTTTTTCAGGCTATAAACACAGCGTTCTTTTTTTAAGTGTATCTCTCTGGAGGTTCCTGCTACATAACAAGGCTGACAGGATTCATGAGGGGTGGACAAAATAAAGACTATTCTGGTCTCTCTGTGTTTTTTTTCTTATCAGTAATTGTGGAAAATGTGTAGGCAAGCACTGAAACATGAGAGTTTGCAACTCCAGGATCATTTTAAGAGGTGTGGTCATTCCAAACTTTGGATTTAATTGACCAGCATGATTCTAATCAGATCATTAGTGGACCAAGTGAATAGTACCTAGAGGGTAAAAGCTGATTTTGAAGGGGTCTGCAACAAATATACAACATGGGAACAAACAGAAACGCAATGTTCCTTCTCTGTGAATGAAAAACAGACAATTGAATTATGATAACTTCTGCCCAGGTGGTGCGTGTTTAAAGGGGGAGGGGCCTGCAGATGTACATGTCATAGGGACAAAAGGAAGATGACAGGAGCTGTTTCTGGAATGAGCCTCAGCTGTTAGGGATGGTAAGGTCAAAGAAAGACGACTGATTCTAATTACCATTCCCTTGGACGTACTACATCGCCAGCTAGAAGTAAATCCAGACGCATAATTACACAGAAGACATTCAAACGAGGATATAAACTCTGGACAGATTCGAATCGCTCACAGACCCCCACTTGGACTATAAAAATGGACCCCTTTATGTAAGATTTATGGGGTTTTTCACACTTTCCCTATACCCATTTTATTTACTAATCTCAGTTTAATTTGATTAAACAGCAATTGTGGATGAAAAAATGACATATTTTATTATTTCTAAAGAATAAGCCCATAAATTCAGAAGTGTCTCATAATTGTTGTTTTTAATCTAGGTTTCCTGTTCCCCCTTACCCTAAAACGAAAGATGCCAGCGTAGGATTCACTCAGGCTTTGTCCAGATGGAACCACTTTCACAAACAGAGTCGGGTGCATGGTGAGACAGGACAGTGCCGCCAGCAGCCAGCAATTACCTGCAGCAGGACACGACAACAGGCTCTGTTAAACAACACATCAATTCCATCAATATTCTTGACATATGTCCACAGCCTCAAACACAATGTGGAAATTCAGGCTTTGAAGAAGCAGGAGACACGCAGTCTGTCTCACGCACAGTGACATTCCTCTGTAACAGGTAACAGCTGTCCGTTTGCCCCGTGTGGGGAAAACAGAAATGGATTCGGCGTGACAACACTTCATAAAAAACATACTTAACACGGCAGCTCCCATAGGAATGACACCAAACAGAGCTCTACAATGGAGTACGTCCAATTAATCTTCAGACCGCAAGAAAAAGGGCTGGATACGTTAATGTGGAAAGTCACTTGAAAACAAATAATTAAAATTTCTGCTTGAAGTGCAAAGAATAAGGCATTTTTTTGGGTAGATTTCCATTCAAATGAGATTATTTACATTCGTTTTTTATTCTAGTGATGCATTGCGATGTTCATATATTATTTAGAGAGGCCATCCAAATCCTAAGCGGCAAATGCACACTTCATGATTTAAATTAAGAAAAAATAAATTAATTAAATTAATGCATTTAGCAGACGTTTTTATCCAAAGCGACTTACAGTGCATTCAGGCTATACATTTTTTTTACCAGTATGTAATTATATGTATTTAAGCAAAGCATTTGCCTGCTTTGATGCAAGAGGCCCAAAGTTCTTTGCATATGTGTTTCACCAACACAAGAAAACTCAGAAAAGTCAGAAATGTTGGATTTCGCAATAAATGATAGCCAGATGTTGCCGTGACAACGATATTGTTTGGTATTTCAACTCAAGTGTCTAGGGATACCCCTTAAATGGTATTGTATCCTTGGGGGATACAAAAAGGGAGTCAGCCCTTTCCAGAAAATTAACGATAAATTACTATTTAAAGATCATGTGTGAACAGGACCTTTTGAGAAATACTGGTAAATCCATTCTGGCAGTTTGCTGGAATGAGAAGTTGTGGTAAATTACTGTTTTGATGCTTTATGTGAACAAACACAAGACTGCTGGTATGAGCATGTACGAGGTTTGGACACATTGATGTAACAAGTCTGAATTAGGCCAGTCATAAAGTTCTCTAATGTGTCAGTTTGCAAAAAAAAAATGGAAAAGCAGCAGAGTGGAATGCAAAAGCTTAAAAACTTGAGATGCATGCAGGGTTCTGTGTGACGAAGAACATGTTTGTGTGTGTGTGTGTTTCAGTGTTCCCTGTTTTCTGTGTGTGTTTTGTGTTTCACTTTTGACTAACAGTATGCTTCCAAACAAATGTGACCTCTGGAGGGTGCAACCTTCGAAATATAAGACACAGCAATTAAATTAAAATTAAAGCGCTTTTGTGCAGATGAAGAGGACAGTGCAGCATTTAAAGGTCATTTCCAATTATTGGCATCACAGAGTTTATCGGTATTTTGGAGTTAATGGCATCTTAACAGTAATAGAAGCCATTTTTTACATTTACAATGGTTAATGTGGGAAAGTGGCTAATGAGTGAGTTAGCCTAATTTCTAAGAAAATCAATTTTGCAATGCAAAATGCTTTTGATAAAGATGCAAATGTGCATTTATTTTACTTACTTACTTGGGAAATACAAACTGTAAATTAATAAACTGAAAATGAAAGCAATATTTTTTTTAAAGGGGTCCTATTATGCTTTTTCATTTTTTTACCTTTAGTTAGTCTGTAATGTTGCTGTTTGAGCATAAAAAAAGATCTGCAAAGTTACAAAGCTCAAAGTCCAATTCAGAAGGAGATATTTTATTTAACAGAAATCACTTTTCAAAAACTACAACGAACGACTTGTTTGGACTACAACGCATATTTTCCGGGATTTGTGATATCACAAATATCGACGAATGGGACGAGACCTGGTTGAGCTGCACTAGAGAAGACAACGAGTGTTATCACTATATCAGAGACACGCTAGCTTACCCAAGACAGACAAACTTAGAGTGATTATAATCATCCGGGTTTAAATCACGCTCAAATTGATTTGATTTTGACGCAATATTTACACTGAAGCTCGCAGGCGGCTATGGTAAGGGGCGTGACATTTCCTGACCAGGCGCCGAGTGCTGCCAATCACAACACACACTGGCCCAGCTAACCAATCACAGCACATTTTGTGTTTCAGAAGGCGGGCCTTCATTTGATTCAGGAACTTTTCGAGCAGTTCATGCCAGACTGGGGAGAGAGGTGCTGTAATAATGTAAAATATGTGAAAAATAATGTGTTTTTCCAACAACCTAGTATGAGAGCCTGTTCTAGTACACCCCCAAAACAAAATCAAGACTTTGGAAAAGAGCATAATCTTAATGTTTTTGAGGTATTTGATAATAGTCATGAATTATTTATTTTATCATACTGCACTTTTTAGGGTTTATTTTGATTCTGAAGGGTACTGGTTTTACTATGGCACATGCATCAAAATGCATGGTAAATAAAACACTAAACTCATTAAGCAATATATATTTTTAACAGATTTAAATTTATGTCTGTAACAAAGACTTTCACATCATATTAACTTATTAATGTAAATTATGATTTCACTTGATATACTGTATACCTTGTTGATATGAGTTGAAAAGGCACATATTTCTGGTCAGGTGTTGATAAAGGGGTACTTGACCCTTTCTCATGAGACTTTGGGGGTACGTAAGACAAAAAAGGTTGGGAAACGCCAAACTATAGAATACAGCTGAGCATGTAAATGTTGAATATCTCGCCAACACTGACACATCAACAAAAACACTTTCCATCAACACCAAATCAACGCCATATGTAGAGAGGGAGAGAAGGCAAAACAATAAAGCAATACCCGCTGTGCACAATAATTGTTATTCTTTAGGTGGGTGGAAATGGGGGGCGGGAGGGGTGTACAGATGATGCCAATACGACCTCTCGCTCCCTCCTTCTTCCCTCTGCTTTCATCCCTCCCTGTCTCTAGTACATTTGTCATGTTTTTGATGTGAGTGGCCTGCGGCGGCTCCATGTTGCATCTCTCAGCAGAGACTCTGCAGGAGGCTTTAAAATCAGCGCAGTGTCTCGAGGCTACAGGGGCAGAATTGGGATAGTACATTAAGCATGATGAGAAAGATCTGGGTGGAAGAGGATGGGGGGGAGGGCATCTGCATGATAAGGAGAGGAAGAGTGGGAGCGTTGCCAAAGACGGGTATTTCACTGATAGCGCTCATGCCTTGAGGGTGCTTTCGGGTGATTTGGTTTCTGAGAAGTGCAGTAAGGCGTTATCCCATTATCCTGGCATAAAATATGAACAACTGTGCGCTAACACAAGCGTACACTCACCCAGCTGGCCCTGGCAGATATCGGTGGTGCCCATGGTGCCCTCAACAAAGACAGCATTACTTGTGATTTCCTGAAGAGGGGGAGAGGTGGGGAAGAAAGATGGGTGTGAGCCAAAAACAATTTGCAAGTACATGGGATGGGCTGATGAGGACATCTGAAAACACATGCATGTGTACAAGAAATATACAGGTACAAGGTCTGTCTGTCTTAAAGTGATAATCCACCCTAAAATTAAAAATCATTTTCTCGCCCTCTTGCCATTTCAAACCTGTATGACTTTTTTTCTTCTGTGGAACACAAAAGACGATATTTTGAAGAATATCTAAACAGCTTCGGTTCCCTTTGACTTCCATTGAATTTTCTGTCCATACAATTGAAGTCAACGAGAACCAGTACTGTTTAGCTGACAACATTCTTCAAAATATCTTCTTTTGTGTTCAGCAGAAGAAAAAAATGCATACAGGTTGGTGGGTGCGTAAATGATGACAGAATTTTCATTTTTGGGTGGACAATCCCTTTATATCTTCTCACTGCACACTTGGGTATTTTTTTTTATTAATTCCAAACATCTAAGTTATTGACCAACTTCACCTTGAGAAATGCCCCAATTTTTTCAGCCTTTTTGCTTTAATGTTTAATGGCTGATGAATGCTATTATACATTTTTATCAATTAAATTAGCTGTAAATTCAGTGTATATAAATAATCTAAACCTGTAACATATATTTCTGGGGGGGGGGGGAAATTATCTGAAATAAAATTATGCTAATGACAAAACAGACTATTCTCAAAGTAGTTACATACTTTAGTTATATATAAAGTTACCTTTGGGCGCAGCCACTTCACTGCCTTTTTAGGATCAGGATCCACAGGAATACCGAGGGAGCTTTGGTTCGCTGCAAACACCGTGTCTGAGAACAGAACTGCAGAGCTGAGGCACTTCTGCAGCAGGACGTCAGAGTCTTGATCTTTGAACTTAACCGGATTGTCAAAAGAACCTAACTCAGACATCTCTACAGATCAGTAAGGAGGATCCAGGAGGATCAGATGTGGTAGTACTGTCACAGCCTGTGCGGAAGCTTTTGAGCTTTAGAAAAGTTTGGAGCAGCAGCACATCCCACCCTATTCCCACCCTCTCAAATTTACTGCCCCAGCGCCCCTGGGAGGCGTAGAAACTTGAGCCGTGTCTGATAATGTCCGACTAGCTGGTTACCTGGACTGCTAACCGATCTAAATTAAGTTAATTGTCTGTTATTAGCAAACGAACGCATCGATACCAAAACACCAAGTCATTGATGGATGTTTTGGGACAAAAAGAAAAGATAATGCAGGTGTTGCTGAATCTCTAACGTCCTTTAAAAATATATATTCTGACATTTATACACTGGGGAATTTAAATTCAAGAAAAATCTACATATGCTGTGTGTGTGTGTGTGTGTGTGCGCGCGCGTTTTTGTGACAACTGAGGACATCAATTTGTATAATGACAAGGGTATGACATAGGTATTACAAGGAGAAGGTGACTTTTCAGGACATTACCCCATGTCCCCACTTTTCAAAACGCATATAAATCACACAGAATGGAGTGCATTGAAAAACTGAAATAGCACAAAGTTTCCTGTGAGGGGTAGGTTTAGGGGTAGGGTTGGTGTAGGGCGATAGAATATACAGTATAAAAACCATTACGCTTATGGGATGTCCCCACTTTTCACAAAAACAAACTTGTGTGTGTGTGTGTGTGTGTGTGTGTGTGTGTGAAATAACACGTTCACCACTAGATGGCAATGCGATGCCATGGCCTCAGTTTTAGTTCTACTTCTCAGTTGTGGATTGTCAAGCCAATGAACACATTAATGCCAATTTCTTGCCAGTTATGTTTTACTCACTGGATAATCAACGACACCCTTTTTTTTATATATTAAAAAAAGCACAACTACAGGGTCGAAAATTGCTCGTTGTTATCTTGCACATAATATCCAATAAACAGTAGATTAAACAATAAATTATTATATTTATAATATTTATTTTTACTTGTACTTTTGTCTTGTAATGTTTAAATTGTTTGATAACATACACATTTTGTACATATAATGACGTTTTACATACTTCTTTAACGAGTTTTGAGGGACAGCTTTGTCAGAAACCGAAGGCAACTACCTCTATCCAGTCAGGTGAGTTTTAGAGATCACTAAGAAAATATATTTATTAATCACTACAATGCTTATTTCTGGGTATAGATGGAGTCATACATTCAAAATGATTAATAAGAAAATATACTTATTTTATTTAGTAATTTCAACTGCTCTGTCAGATGCCATGTTTATTCTTTCCACTAGCCAAACCACACACAGATATTATGGAACATCATATATATTTTAGAAACTTTCAAACACACTAAAGTTTGGTCACAAAAGTAAGCAGTGATATTAAGATTAAACTGAAGATAAACATAAATGTTTAAGTTAAGAACTGAACACATTTGTACCAATCAAATCACCTGACCTTGAAACTTTGCCTTTCTTTCACTAGCTGCCCACGCTTTGCTAAAGACATTCAGACAAGCTTACAGGGGCTAAATAAACACAGCTCATAATGAGACGGATGTGAACGATTGCTCACGATTTACTCTGTTATTGATGCCCATGTTCTGTAGGCTACATATGGTCTTTCAGAGAGGATTATGTCGTAATGACAAAGGTCACTGACCCGCCCAGAACATTATCACACTCCCGGCATGTCCACGACCCCTACTGCTTCCACAACCCAAACCCAGAGCCTATCTGCTCACAGGCATCAATTAACACCAGTCGGTTCCCAAGCACTGCTGCGCTGCCCAATGCAAGGATGCATTAGAATGGGAAGAAAGAAGGTCAGGAGGTCAAGAACAGAAAGACAATTACTCTGTATCATGCTATTTAACTATCCTGCCTCAATATGTCGCATACTAACATTATTTACTCTATTTAACCATCTCTAACTCTTTACATTTGTGTCTCCCTACTACTCTCTCTCTCTCTATTTAAACACAAACATATGTAGAAATAACTTGTGTCCAAACGCTATTCAGTCACATAATGCACTTTATGCATAATGCACATCTACTTTACTTTCCTGCTTTTCCCAGTCTAGGTTCTTAGACACTGCATTCTGTGCAAGAAACTGAAAAGGTGTTATTTTCTGAGGGGCGAAGGACGAGTCAGTTAACTCATGTAAGTATGGGTTGAACCCTCAGGTAAGGTCACAGCATTGGGAACATGACAACGAGACCCGCAAACTCTTCTTTGGAGTAAAGGCTAGTTCAACCAGTCTGTCTGTCTGTCCAGCGTCTGATGGCTGTTTTGACCTGTATCTCGCTCGTTGTGTGAGAGTAGAGGTCACCAGGTGCTGTGTGATCCCCCCCTTTTTCTCAGTATGACATACAGCTTGTTTGGGAGGTTATTAAGGAGTGGCATAGAATTGTTGTATTTGTGTGTGTGTGTGTGAACATGTAAGTGGGAAGGCAGAGGTGTTGCACAGGTTTCCTGTCACCTAATTTGACCTTATTTTGCCACATTTGTGCCGGAGTTAGAACTATGTAAATATTTTGTAATAATTCAAAATATTTATTGAGCATCAAATCAGCATATTAGAATGATTTATGAAGTATTATGTGACACTGAAGACTGGAGTAATAGCTGCTGAAAATTCAGCTTTGCATCACAGGAAAACAAATGACATTTTAAAATATATATAAAAAAAGAATACAGTTACTTTAATATGTACTAGCATTTCACAATATATAAAAAAGTCCCTTATGTCCACTAAGACAGCATTTGTTTGTTCAGAAATACAGTATACTGGTAAGAAATATATATAATATTTTAAACCCTATGATTGTATCATTTGATCATGACTGTTTCTAGTTCAAAGAAATTGTTCACCCACAAATTAGTTCAGACTCAAAAAATGGTGCATTTGCCATCTTTTTGTTATGCTCTTTTCAACAATATATTTGTACACATTTTCCACTGACAATATAATAGCATACTGGTTCATGATGTTGAGTAATGACTGTGTTTTCATTTTTGATCAGTTTTCTTCAAACTTATCAAAACAGCTGCATAATTCGTTTAGGTAGAAAATTAATTGTGGATTTGGTTGGAAATTGTCACATCGAAATAAAACCATGAAATGCCAAACCACTTCCACCACAGCCGCTGGGAACGTTATGGAGTATCAGTCGTAACAGGATTATCACCTTGTTTTTTTGTGGTGAGATGGGTCATGTTTAAACCCATATTTGTGGCTTCTCCCTCCATGGCACTGTGGAATTGTCACCTGTTCATTCAGCACAGACTGTTTGTTGACAGCTGGACCGTTGTCTTCCTCTCCCATGCAAGGCCACTAACACATCACTGCGGCAGGGGGGTTAATTTTAGGGTTCAGGTTTCTCTCTGTGGTCTTTGCGGAAGAAAGGAAGGATGTTACCACGAGGAGGAGGAGGAGGATGATGGTATTGGATGCAGGTTTGGGAACGAGGATAAAGAAACACTAGAGAGCTTTTCTGTGGTTTATCTCGTTCACACAACCTTCCTTTGCTCATTCCCTCCCTTGTTTCCCTCCTTCTAAATGATACTATCACACCAGAATGGTCCTGTGGGAAGAAAGATGAGGAATTCAGTGGCACTTCTTAATAAAATGTATTTTGAGTAATTAATTAGCTTTTAAAATAATTAATAATAATAATAATTAATAGTATACCATAAGTTCATATGTACTGTCTCTATTAAGCTTGGCCTACAGTGCAAAGATCTCCATTATTAATACACATAAAGGGCTGTACATGCACAACCCACCTAATAATGCAATGATATGCAGCTATTTACTTGTCTACAGATGTGCGTCTGATATGATCAACTATCTGTAGATGTACCAGCCTGACAATCACCAAACGTCTCACTATTCACATCATGTTTCATGAGAACTGGTTTTGCATCTTTTGATCTTGCTATGAATAAAAGTGATTGCAGGCACTCCTTTCCACATAACTCAAATGTAAAACATTTGTAAATAATAAATATATGAAGAATTAAATTAGAAATAAAATAAAATAGATGTACTCTTACCACAATCAATACAGCTGATAAATCATTATGGCTATAAAATATTATTTCTATACATATGCAATCCTCATAGCACAAATGTAAAAAACATTTAGATATAATAATAAAAAATTACATTAGAAATTAAATTAAATGTACCTTTACTCTAATCAGTGCAGGTGATAAATCAATATCTATATTAATGTATTAAAATATTATTTTTAATGCATATGCATATGCAATCAATCAACACAATATGTAAACACATATGGTACTATATGCACGTTATTAGACATTTTTTTTCACAATATAACAGGACCCCTATTCAAAAGGGTCCTTGGCCTGATTTAGAGGTTTCTGTCAATGTCTTGAGAGCATTGTAAATACATTGAACGACTTGAGAGTGTTGTAAAGACATTCATATAGACACATTCATAATGAACACGGTTACAGTTAAATGCATTTAGACATTTCCCACCCTGAGAAGGCGTGCAGATTTAGATGATTTCTTGAGACCCCAAAACCACAAACTTTCCCTTTTCACCAAGGTGGCAGTGCTACATAAGTGGGGCATTTATTGTGGTTTGTGCTCAAACTCAAAACACATCTCAAAGTCCACGCACACCTACAGGTTTTGCGCGGTCAGTTCCCCGTCACCATGCCCTGATAGGAATGCATCATCGTGATTGGTCAGTAAAGATAAACACGGGCCAGTCCCAGCTCAGAAGGTGCAGAGAGGCGGCCCAAAAGAGACAAAGGGCACTTGGGAATGTTTTCGTCTGCCAGAGGCCATCTTAACTCGCAGAAGCTCGTGTTACGTTATGTAATTGGGCCCGTGCGGCCACCAAATGGTGCGTGTATAAGGTTTTGATAGAGGAGAAGCGATGCAGGTCCCAGGGCGATCACCTGTGATTCAGAGTATCGGGAATTTTTGCTGAACTACCAGAGTTGTAAATGATGTTTCAGACCCCTCCCTTATGCTTCGCTATCTTTCTCCTTTTCTCCGAAATGGCGATAATTGGAGATGAGAGCTACATATGGTCCCTTCAATCCAACCTCCCCCAGCCCAAGCTAAAGCTCATTAAAAAGGTTGCTTGTTAATGAGCTATAGGGATCATAGAGCGTCCTACTCATTAGAGGGGCCAGAGATACCGGCATGAAGGATTTGTCCCACTACAAAAGGAGAAAGCTGTTAAGATGACGCCGCTCCCCCTCGGGTTTCTCAACATCCTCAGACTTCCGCCTGTTTCAATCGCAGCACTCCTTTCCAGGCTTTGTCTTCGCCATCTCTCCAGATGAATAATCTCACTTTTTGGACACGTAATGTACCTGACAATCTCATCTATTCCATTAAACGTTTGGACTACAACGCATATTTTCCGGGATTTGTGATATCACAAATATCGACGAATGGGACGAGACCTGGTTGAGCTGCACTAGAGAAGACAACGAGTGTTATCACTATATCAGAGACACGCTAGCTTACCCAAGACAGACAAACTTAGAGTGATTATAATCATCCGGGTTTAAATCACGCTCAAATTGATTTGATTTTGACGCAATATTTACACTGAAGCTCGCAGGCGGCTATGGTAAGGGGCGTGACATTTCCTGACCAGGCGCCGAGTGCTGCCAATCACAACACACACTGGCCCAGCTAACCAATCACAGCACATTTTGTGTTTCAGAAGGCGGGCCTTCATTTGATTCAGGAACTTTTCGAGCAGTTCATGCCAGACTGGGGAGAGAGGTGCTGTAATAATGTAAAATATGTGAAAAATAATGTGTTTTTCCAACAACCTAGTATGAGAGCCTGTTCTAGTACACCCCCAAAACAAAATCAAGACTTTGGAAAAGAGCATAATCTTAATGTTTTTGAGGTATTTGATAATAGTCATGAATTATTTATTTTATCATACTGCACTTTTTAGGGTTTATTTTGATTCTGAAGGGTACTGGTTTTACTATGGCACATGCATCAAAATGCATGGTAAATAAAACACTAAACTCATTAAGCAATATATATTTTTAACAGATTTAAATTTATGTCTGTAACAAAGACTTTCACATCATATTAACTTATTAATGTAAATTATGATTTCACTTGATATACTGTATACCTTGTTGATATGAGTTGAAAAGGCACATATTTCTGGTCAGGTGTTGATAAAGGGGTACTTGACCCTTTCTCATGAGACTTTGGGGGTACGTAAGACAAAAAAGGTTGGGAAACGCCAAACTATAGAATACAGCTGAGCATGTAAATGTTGAATATCTCGCCAACACTGACACATCAACAAAAACACTTTCCATCAACACCAAATCAACGCCATATGTAGAGAGGGAGAGAAGGCAAAACAATAAAGCAATACCCGCTGTGCACAATAATTGTTATTCTTTAGGTGGGTGGAAATGGGGGGCGGGAGGGGTGTACAGATGATGCCAATACGACCTCTCGCTCCCTCCTTCTTCCCTCTGCTTTCATCCCTCCCTGTCTCTAGTACATTTGTCATGTTTTTGATGTGAGTGGCCTGCGGCGGCTCCATGTTGCATCTCTCAGCAGAGACTCTGCAGGAGGCTTTAAAATCAGCGCAGTGTCTCGAGGCTACAGGGGCAGAATTGGGATAGTACATTAAGCATGATGAGAAAGATCTGGGTGGAAGAGGATGGGGGGGAGGGCATCTGCATGATAAGGAGAGGAAGAGTGGGAGCGTTGCCAAAGACGGGTATTTCACTGATAGCGCTCATGCCTTGAGGGTGCTTTCGGGTGATTTGGTTTCTGAGAAGTGCAGTAAGGCGTTATCCCATTATCCTGGCATAAAATATGAACAACTGTGCGCTAACACAAGCGTACACTCACCCAGCTGGCCCTGGCAGATATCGGTGGTGCCCATGGTGCCCTCAACAAAGACAGCATTACTTGTGATTTCCTGAAGAGGGGGAGAGGTGGGGAAGAAAGATGGCGTGTGTGTGTGTGTGAGGTGAGAGTATGTGTGTGTGTGTGTGTGTGTGAGGGGAGAGGGGGTGTGGGGGTGGGGGGGGGGGGGGGGGGGGGGGGGGGGGGGGCTGTACAGATGATGCCAATCCGACCTCTCGCTCCCTCTTTCTTCTCTCTGCTTTCATCCCTCCCTGTTTCTAGTACATTTGTCGTGTTTTTGATGTGAGTGGCCTGCGGCGGCTCCATGTTGCATCTCTCAGCAGGGACTCTGCAGGAGGCTCTGAGATCAGTGCAGTGTCTCGCGGCTACAGGGGCAGAATGGGGATAGTACATTAAGCATGATGAGGATGATCTGGGAGGAAGAAGATGGGGGGGAGGGCATCTGCATGATAAGGAGAGGAAGAGTGGGAGCGTTGCCAAAGACGGTTATTTCACTGATAGCGCGCATGCATTGAGGGTGCTTTCGGGTGATTTGGTTTCTGAGAAGTGCAGTAAGGCGTTATCCCATTATCCTGGCATAAAATATGAACAACTGTGCGCTAACACAAGCGTACACTCACCCAGCTGGCCCTGGCAGATATCGGTGGTGCCCATGGTGCCCTCAACAAAGACAGCATTACTTGTGATTTCCTGAAGAGGGGGAGAGGTGGGGAAGGAAGATGGGTGTGAGCCAAAAACAATTTGCAAGTACATGGGATGGGCTGATGAGGACATCTGAAAACACATGCATGTGTACAAGAAATATACAGGTACAAGGTCTGTCTGTCTTAAAGTGATAATCCACCCTAAAATTAAAAATCATTTTCTCGCCCTCTTGCCATTTCAAACCTGTATGACTTTTTTTCTTCTGTGGAACACAAAAGACGATATTTTGAAGAATATCTAAACAGCTTCGGTTCCCTTTGACTTCCATTGAATTTTCTGTCCATACAATTGAAGTCAACGAGAACCAGTACTGTTTAGCTGACAACATTCTTCAAAATATCTTCTTTTGTGTTCAGCAGAAGAAAAAAATGCATACAGGTTGGTGGGTGCGTAAATGATGACAGAATTTTCATTTTTGGGTGGACAATCCCTTTATATCTTCTCACTGCACACTTGGGTATTTTTTTTTATTAATTCCAAACATCTAAGTTATTGACCAACTTCACCTTGAGAAATGCCCCAATTTTTTCAGCCTTTTTGCTTTAATGTTTAATGGCTGATGAATGCTATTATACATTTTTATCAATTAAATTAGCTGTAAATTCAGTGTATATAAATAATCTAAACCTGTAACATATATTTCTGGGGGGGGGGGGAAATTATCTGAAATAAAATTATGCTAATGACAAAACAGACTATTCTCAAAGTAGTTACATACTTTAGTTATATATAAAGTTACCTTTGGGCGCAGCCACTTCACTGCCTTTTTAGGATCAGGATCCACAGGAATACCGAGGGAGCTTTGGTTCGCTGCAAACACCGTGTCTGAGAACAGAACTGCAGAGCTGAGGCACTTCTGCAGCAGGACGTCAGAGTCTTGATCTTTGAACTTAACCGGATTGTCAAAAGAACCTAACTCAGACATCTCTACAGATCAGTAAGGAGGATCCAGGAGGATCAGATGTGGTAGTACTGTCACAGTCTGTGCGGAAGCTTTTGAGCTTTAGAAAAGTTTGGAGCAGCAGCACATCCCACCCTATTCCCACCCTCTCAAATTTACTGCCCCAGCGCCCCTGGGAGGCGTAGAAACTTGAGCCGTGTCTGATAATGTCCGACTAGCTGGTTACCTGGACTGCTAACCGATCTAAATTAAGTTAATTGTCTGTTATTAGCAAACGAACGCATCGATACCAAAACACCAAGTCATTGATGGATGTTTTGGGACAAAAAGAAAAGATAATGCAGGTGTTGCTGAATCTCTAACGTCCTTTAAAAATATATATTCTGACATTTATACACTGGGGAATTTAAATTCAAGAAAAATCTACATATGCTGTGTGTGTGTGTGTGTGTGTGTGCGCGCGCGTTTTTGTGACAACTGAGGACATCAATTTGTATAATGACAAGGGTATGACATAGGTATTACAAGGAGAAGGTGACTTTTCAGGACATTACCCCATGTCCCCACTTTTCAAAACGCATATAAATCACACAGAATGGAGTGCATTGAAAATCTGAAATAGCACAAAGTTTCCTGTGAGGGGTAGGTTTAGGGGTAGGGTTGGTGTAGGGCGATAGAATATACAGTATAAAAACCATTACGCTTATGGGATGTCCCCACTTTTCACAAAAACAAACTTGTGTGTGTGTGTGTGTGTGTGTGTGTGTGTGTGAAATAACACGTTCACCACTAGATGGCAATGCGATGCCATGGCCTCAGTTTTAGTTCTACTTCTCAGTTGTGGATTGTCAAGCCAATGAACACATTAATGCCAATTTCTTGCCAGTTATGTTTTACTCACTGGATAATCAACGACACCCTTTTTTTTATATATTAAAAAAAGCACAACTACAGGGTCGAAAATTGCTCGTTGTTATCTTGCACATAATATCCAATAAACAGTAGATTAAACAATAAATTATTATATTTATAATATTTATTTTTACTTGTACTTTTGTCTTGTAATGTTTAAATTGTTTGATAACATACACATTTTGTACATATAATGACGTTTTACATACTTCTTTAACGAGTTTTGAGGGACAGCATTGTCAGAAACCGAAGGCAACTACCTCTATCCAGTCAGGTGAGTTTTAGAGATCACTAAGAAAATATATTTATTAATCACTACAATGCTTATTTCTGGGTATAGATGGAGTCATACATTCAAAATGATTAATAAGAAAATATACTTATTTTATTTAGTAATTTCAACTGCTCTGTCAGATGCCATGTTTATTCTTTCCACTAGCCAAACCACACACAGATATTATGGAACATCATATATATTTTAGAAACTTTCAAACACACTAAAGTTTGGTCACAAAAGTAAGCAGTGATATTAAGATTAAACTGAAGATAAACATAAATGTTTAAGTTAAGAACTGAACACATTTGTACCAATCAAATCACCTGACCTTGAAACTTTGCCTTTCTTTCACTAGCTGCCCACGCTTTGCTAAAGACATTCAGACAAGCTTACAGGGGCTAAATAAACACAGCTCATAATGAGACGGATGTGAACGATTGCTCACGATTTACTCTGTTATTGATGCCCATGTTCTGTAGGCTACATATGGTCTTTCAGAGAGGATTATGTCGTAATGACAAAGGTCACTGACCCGCCCAGAACATTATCACACTCCCGGCATGTCCACGACCCCTACTGCTTCCACAACCCAAACCCAGAGCCTATCTGCTCACAGGCATCAATTAACACCAGTCGGTTCCCAAGCACTGCTGCGCTGCCCAATGCAAGGATGCATTAGAATGGGAAGAAAGAAGGTCAGGAGGTCAAGAACAGAAAGACAATTACTCTGTATCATGCTATTTAACTATCCTGCCTCAATATGTCGCATACTAACATTATTTACTCTATTTAACCATCTCTAACTCTTTACATTTGTGTCTCCCTACTACTCTCTCTCTCTCTATTTAAACACAAACATATGTAGAAATAACTTGTGTCCAAACGCTCTTCAGTCACATAATGCACTTTATGCATAATGCACATCTACTTTACTTTCCTGCTTTTCCCAGTCTATGTTCTTAGACACTGCATTCTGTGCAAGAAACTGAAAAGGTGTTATTTTCTGAGGGGCGAAGGACGAGTCAGTTAACTCATGTAAGTATGGGTTGAACCCTCAGGTAAGGTCACAGCATTGGGAACATGACAACGAGACCCGCAAACTCTTCTTTGGAGTAAAGGCTAGTTCAACCAGTCTGTCTGTCTGTCCAGCGTCTGATGGCTGTTTTGACCTGTATCTCGCTCGTTGTGTGAGAGTAGAGGTCACCAGGTGCTGTGTGATCCCCCCCTTTTTCTCAGTATGACATACAGCTTGTTTGGGAGGTTATTAAGGAGTGGCATAGAATTGTTGTATTTGTGTGTGTGTGTGTGTGAACATGTAAGTGGGAAGGCAGAGGTGTTGCACAGGTTTCCTGTCACCTAATTTGACCTTATTTTGCCACATTTGTGCCGGAGTTAGAACTATGTAAATATTTTGTAATAATTCAAAATATTTATTGAGCATCAAATCAGCATATTAGAATGATTTATGAAGTATTATGTGACACTGAAGACTGGAGTAATAGCTGCTGAAAATTCAGCTTTGCATCACAGGAAAACAAATGACATTTTAAAATATATATAAAAAAAGAATACAGTTACTTTAATATGTACTAGCATTTCACAATATATAAAAAAGTCCCTTATGTCCACTAAGACAGCATTTGTTTGTTCAGAAATACAGTATACTGGTAAGAAATATATATAATATTTTAAACCCTATGATTGTATCATTTGATCATGACTGTTTCTAGTTCAAAAGCATCAAATCAGCATATTAGAATGATTTATGAAGTATTATGTGACACTGAAGACTGGAGTAATAGCTGCTGAAAATTCAGCTTTGCATCACAGGAAAACAAATGACATTTTAAAATATATATATAAAAAGAATACAGTTACTTTAATATGTACTAGCATTTCACAATATATAAAAAAGTCCCTTATGTCCACTAAGACAGCATTTGTTTGTTCAGAAATACAGTATACTGGTTAGAAATATATATAATATTTTAAACCCTATGATTGTATCATTTGATCATGACTGTTTCTAGTTCAAAGAAATTGTTCACCCACAAATTAGTTCAGACTCAAAAAATGGTGCATTTGCCATCTTTTTGTTATGCTCTTTTCAACAATATATTTGTACACATTTTCCACTGACAATATAATAGCATACTGGTTCATGATGTTGAGTAATGACTGTGTTTTCATTTTTGATCAGTTTTCTTCAAACTTATCAAAACAGCTGCATAATTCGTTTAGGTAGAAAATTAATTGTGGATTTGGTTGGAAATTGTCACATCGAAATAAAACCATGAAATGCCAAACCACTTCCACCACAGCCGCTGGGAACGTTATGGAGTATCAGTCGTAACAGGATTATCACCTTGTTTTTTTGTGGTGAGATGGGTCATGTTTAAACCCATATTTGTGGCTTCTCCCTCCATGGCACTGTGGAATTGTCACCTGTTCATTCAGCACAGACTGTTTGTTGACAGCTGGACCGTTGTCTTCCTCTCCCATGCAAGGCCACTAACACATCACTGCGGCAGGGGGGTTAATTTTAGGGTTCAGGTTTCTCTCTGTGGTCTTTGCGGAAGAAAGGAAGGATGTTACCACGAGGAGGAGGAGGAGGATGATGGTATTGGATGCAGGTTTGGGAACGAGGATAAAGAAACACTAGAGAGCTTTTCTGTGGTTTATCTCGTTCACACAACCTTCCTTTGCTCATTCCCTCCCTTGTTTCCCTCCTTCTAAATGATACTATCACACCAGAATGGTCCTGTGGGAAGAAAGATGAGGAATTCAGTGGCACTTCTTAATAAAATGTATTTTGAGTAATTAATTAGCTTTTAAAATAATTAATAATAATAATAATTAATAGTATACCATAAGTTCATATGTACTGTCTCTATTAAGCTTGGCCTACAGTGCAAAGATCTCCATTATTAATACACATAAAGGGCTGTACATGCACAACCCACCTAATAATGCAATGATATGCAGCTATTTACTTGTCTACAGATGTGCGTCTGATATGATCAACTATCTGTAGATGTACCAGCCTGACAATCACCAAACGTCTCACTATTCACATCATGTTTCATGAGAACTGGTTTTGCATCTTTTGATCTTGCTATGAATAAAAGTGATTGCAGGCACTCCTTTCCACATAACTCAAATGTAAAACATTTGTAAATAATAAATATATGAAGAATTAAATTAGAAATAAAATAAAATAGATGTACTCTTACCACAATCAATACAGCTGATAAATCATTATGGCTATAAAATATTATTTCTATACATATGCAATCCTCATAGCACAAATGTAAAAAACATTTAGATATAATAATAAAAAATTACATTAGAAATTAAATTAAATGTACCTTTACTCTAATCAGTGCAGGTGATAAATCAATATCTATATTAATGTATTAAAATATTATTTTTAATGCATATGCATATGCAATCAATCAACACAATATGTAAACACATATGGTACTATATGCACGTTATTAGACATTTTTTTTCACAATACAACAGGACCCCTATTCAAAAGGGTCCTTGGCCTGATTTAGAGGTTTCTGTCAATGTCTTGAGAGCATTGTAAATACATTGAACGACTTGAGAGTGTTGTAAAGACATTCATATAGACACATTCATAATGAACACGGTTACAGTTAAATGCATTTAGACATTTCCCACCCTGAGAAGGCGTGCAGATTTAGATGATTTCTTGAGACCCCAAAACCACAAACTTTCCCTTTTCACCAAGGTGGCAGTGCTACATAAGTGGGGCATTTATTGTGGTTTGTGCTCAAACTCAAAACACATCTCAAAGTCCACGCACACCTACAGGTTTTGCGCGGT